TGAGGCCCTATTTTATCACTTCATTCATTCATACTTCTTTTCTCTTGAGTTCCTGCACATTTGGTAGAGTCAACTAATGGCTTTCTTGTCATCTGCAGAACCTCCGGAGATTGACTTGGATGCCAGCATGAGAAAACTGGTCATAGTGAGGGCAGGGTGCCCAATCCGACTCTTTGCCATAGTGAGAGGGCGACCAGCCCCTAAAGTCACTTGGCGAAAAATGGGAATTGACAACGTGGTCAGAAAAGGCCAAGTTGATCTGGTTGATACTATGGCCTTCCTTGTCATCCCCAATTCCACACGTGATGACTCTGGAAAGTATTCCTTGACACTTGTGAACCCGGCTGGAGAAAAGGCTGTGTTTGTCAATGTCAGAGTATTAGGTGCGTTACCAACAAGCTTCCTCCTCCCCTTCAAAAACACATTTGTTAATAAGGAGGCCGAGGAGGCATATCCGTCTGATTTTGTGGTTCCTTACAGATACTCCCGGACCTGTGTCTGAGTTAAAAGTTTCTGATGTCACTAAAACATCATGCCACGTTTCCTGGGCGCCTCCTGAGAATGACGGTGGGAGCCAGGTGACACATTATATTGTGGAGAAACGTGACGCAGAGAGAAAGACGTGGTCAACAGTTACCCCAGAAGTTAAGAAAACAAGCTTCCAAGTCTCCAATCTTGTCCCTGGGAATGAGTATTTCTTCAGAGTCACTGCTGTCAATGAGTATGGCCCCGGTGTCCCAACAGACGTCCCCAAACCAGTGCTTGCGTCAGATCCTCTAAGTAAGTAACAGCCTTTCCTCCTCTTTTGAACTCCGGTGTCCTACATTAACAAGGTCAAGATAGCGACACATTTTGCTCCACCACTGAAAGAGCTTTAATTTGTAGAAGCCCAAACAGTAACAATAAATATCTAACTCTCTTCTTAATTCATCTGGCATACTATTTGCTTTCAACATACCCAACAATTGTTTCCATAGACTTTGAAGCAAGTAGCATACTAAGTAAACACTTAAGTACATTAACAAATGGACTTGATTATGTTACCCAGACAGTTTTCTGAATCATGTTTTTCCTCTAGGTGAGCCGGATCCCCCAAAGAAACTGGAGGTTACTGAAATGACGAAGAACAGTGCCACACTGGCCTGGCTGCCCCCACTGCGGGACGGTGGCGCTAAGATTGACGGCTACATCATAAGTTACAGGGAGGAAGAGCAGCCCGCAGATCGCTGGACAGAGTACTCGGTGGTTAAGGACCTCAGCCTTGTTGTCACCGGCCTAAAGGAAGGGAAGAAATACAAGTTTAGAGTAGTGGCCAGGAACGCAGTGGGAGTCAGTTTGCCCAGAGAAGCGGAAGGAGTGTATGAAGCCAAAGAACAGCTGTGTAAGTCACCATTGTGTCATTTTTGTCACCTGCTAAAGTTTATTAGTTTTTTCTCCACACATGTAAGCATTGCTCCCTGAGGAATATAGTTCTAGAAACACTTCGATAATAGTCGAGAACAGAGGCTTTGAACCATTTAAGCCCATTCGTGACACAATATACACATATATACGTCAGGGTGCAAACACGTATGTAACTAAAAAAAACTTTTTTGAAGCAACACCTATCTTTGTATGCCAGACTCATATTTCCCATTTGATTCAATCCCATTCTTTTTTTTTAAGTAGTTATAATGCCAACATTAAATTGTACCCACTAATGAGTTGAAGTCCACAATTTGAAAAATAGTACAGTTCCCAATCAGAGGAAATGAACCTCCCCACAAAGTTAACATATTTTATTTTCCCTTTAGTGCCACCCAAGATCCTTATGCCAGAGCAAATTACTCTTAAGGCCGGGAAGAAACTCAGAGTTGAAGCCCACGTGTATGGAAAGCCTCATCCCACCTGTAAATGGAAAAAAGGAGAAGATGACGTTGTCACATCCAGCCACCTGGCAGTGCATAAAGCAGACAGCTCTTCGGTTCTGATCATAAAAGATGTTACTAGGAAAGACAGTGGTTACTACAGCCTCACTGCAGAGAACAGCTCTGGGACAGACACTCAGAAAATCAAAGTTACCGTCATGGGTATGCGAAGCGTTAGACATCTAACTATGCAGATTAGGAACATTTTTCTTGTCAAATCCTTGTGCTTAACATCCCTCTTGTCTTGGTTCGTGCAGATGCCCCTGGGCCCCCGCAGCCTCCATTCGACATCTCCGACATAGATGCCGATGCCTGCTCCTTGTCCTGGCACATCCCTCTGGAGGACGGGGGCAGCAGCATCACCAATTACATAGTGGAGAAGTGTGACGTAAGCCGAGGTGACTGGGTGACGGCTCTAGCTTCAGTGACAAAGACTTCCTGCAGAATTGGAAAACTGATCCCAGGCCAGGAGTATATCTTCCGGGTCCGTGCTGAAAATCGATTTGGCATTTCAGAGCCTCTCACATCTCCAAAGATGCTGGCCAAGTTCCCATTTGGTATGTTTCTTCCGGGGAGAAAAATACTATGTTTTCTTTCTAGTCTGATACTTAAGGGAGAAACTGACATCTCCCTTCTCTTCATCTCCAGATGTTCCCAGTGAACCAAAGAACGCTCGAATCACTAAAGTCAACAAAGACTGCATGTTTGTGGCATGGGACAGACCAGACAGTGATGGAGGGAGCCCCATTACTGGTTACCTGATTGAACGCAAAGAAAGAAACGGTTTGCTCTGGGTGAAAGCTAATGATACTCCTGTGCGGTCAACTGAATATCCCTGTGCTGGCCTTGTGGAGGGTCTTGAGTATTCATTCAGAATCTATGCCCTGAACAAAGCTGGATCCAGCCCACCCAGCAAACCAACAGAATATGTAACTGCAAGAATGCCAGTTGGTGAGTTTGTATTTTGGTTGTTTTGTTTTGTTTTGTTTTGCATTAGAGGGACACTTTTAAATCTTAGAGTCTCCTATGACTACTTCCATTCAGGAATGTGTTCTGGGTGATACTGTGAAATAAGGACATTGAAAGCTTTTGCTATTAAGAGAAATGCTGAGAATACCTTTTTTGGTCTTAGATCCTCCTGGAAAGCCTGAAGTTATCGATGTTTCCAAGAGCACCGTATCCCTCATATGGGCTCGTCCAAAGCATGATGGAGGCAGCAAAATTATTGGCTATTTCGTGGAAGCTTGCAAACTTCCTGGTGATAAGTGGGTACGGTGCAATACTACACCTCACCAGATTCCCCAGGAAGAGTACACAGCTACTGGCTTAGAAGAGAATGCTCAGTATCAATTTAGAGCCATCGCCAAGACAGCAATAAACATCAGCCAACCTTCTGAACCTTCTGATCCAGTGACTATCCTCGAAGAAAATGGTAAGATTCTATGGAGCATCATAGGCAAAGGTGGACAGTACTCATAATGTGTATTTCTCCTAGCAAAAAAGTAAGTCTATATATCTGTGGAGAAAAGAACAGGTAAAATGATAGGTGTCTGGTATACAGACATGAAAAATTATGATTATGGAGAATCTCAATAATGTGTTAAACTAAAAGAGCAGGCCAGAAAACTGTGAGGCCTGTATGATTTCAACCCTACACTTGCACGGAATGATGACAAAGAAATGCACCAAAATGATGGTGGTGAAAATTAAAGGATGTTGGAATTCAGGGTGATCTTCACTAATTTTCTTTTTACTTTCAGCATTACCACATTTCTACACGAAACCGTATTTCTTTTAGAATGAATATCTTCTAAAAATTCTGTCTTGAACAACACAGCACCTAGGAATCTCCACTTTTATTAATGAGTTATATAACACGGCTTTGTGTGTACTAAATCCTTTTATTTCTTTCCAGTTCCTCCCAGGATAGACCTGAGTTTGGCTATGAAATCTCTGCTGACTGTCAAAGCTGGAACTAATGTTTGCCTGGACGCTACTGTTTTTGGGAAACCAACACCGACAATCTCTTGGAAGAAGGATGGCACACTGCTAAAACCAGCAGAAGGCATAAAAATGGCGAAGAGTCGGAACCTGTGCACCCTGGAGCTGTTCAGCGTGAACCGAAAGGACTCAGGGGACTATACCATTACTGCGGAAAACTCTAGTGGTTCCAAGTCAGCCACCATTAAGCTCAAAGTGTTAGGTAACTAAAGTGCTCAATTAGAATCTCGTATTTTATTTTGCCTAATGTGATGCAATAGAATTTACAAAATAATAATGAAAAAGATGCATACCCTAATGTATATTTTGAAATCGCAGGATTATTCTCATCAGAGAACAACAGCAGTTTAGAACTGACAAGAGCATTAGAGATTACATATTCCAGTTCTGCAATTTTACAAGTGAGAAAATTAATATTTTGAAAAATTCAGCGACTGCCAAAGTCATTCAGGAAGTTAATGACAGTATCAGGATAGCAGCCCAGGTCTCCAGACCTCCATTCTGCTCACTCCCTGTTTCCCACATGTTAGTGAAAGACTTCACTTCTCTCTCTTGTTCTTGCAGATAAACCAGGTCCTCCAGCATCTGTTAAAATCAACAAGATGTATGCAGACCGTGCAATGCTTTCCTGGGAGCCTCCTCTGGAAGATGGAGGCTCAGAAATCACCAACTACATTGTGGACAAACGTGAAACGAGCAGACCCAACTGGGCGCAGGTCTCCGCTACCGTGCCCATCACCAGCTGCAGCGTGGAGAAACTGATAGAGGGCCACGAGTACCAGTTCCGAATTTGCGCCGAAAATAAATATGGGGTGGGCGATCCAATCTTAACTGAACCAGCAATTGCTAAAAACCCATACGGTAAGAACATTTTCCTGTGGCTCTTCCTTTTACATTTTAAATGTCACCTTTGAGACAGGGAAATACTGACTTTTCAACCAATCTCTGCAGACCCACCTGGACGCTGTGACGCACCCATCATTAGCAACGTAACCAGAGACCACATGACGGTGAGCTGGAAACCGCCGGCGGATGACGGTGGCTCACCCATCACTGGCTATTTGGTTGAAAAGCGGGAAACCCAGGCAATTAACTGGACGAAAGTCAACAGAAAACCTGTTATAGAAAGAACTATAAAAGCAACAGGCCTCCAAGAAGGCACTGAATACGAGTTCCGAGTTACAGCTATAAATAAGGCTGGCCCAGGCAAACCCAGCGAGGCATCCAAAGCTGTCTATGCTCGGGACCCTCAGTGTAAGTTCTCATGAAAAAGTCTCTTAGGCTGTGTTCAAGTCAACTTTGAACAACCAGATGTGAGGTTGTAATGAAAAATTGTTATCACTATTTATCCTCAGATCCTCCTGGCCCACCAGCTTTCCCTAAAGTATATGATACGACCCGTAGCTCTGTGAGTCTGTCTTGGGGCAAGCCAGCCTACGACGGTGGTAGCCCTATCATTGGTTACCTTGTCGAAGTAAAACGGGCCGACTCTGACAACTGGGTGAGGTGCAATTTACCAGACAAGCTACAGAAAACTCGCTTTGAGGTGACCGGCCTGATGGAAAACACAGAGTATCAGTTCCGCGTGTATGCTGTTAACAAGGTCGGATACAGTGACCCCAGTGACGTGCCAGACAACCACTGTCCCAAGGACATCCTAAGTAAGTGTTACCAGGAGAAATACATCGAAGGCGAGTAGAACTCCCTTCCGAACATGTGTTTATTTACAGGCTTTGGAGGTGGTCACTCTAGGAGAACACTTTGAGAGAGCTGGGTTGGTCATTGATGCTGTTGTATAATAGGCCAAGTGGAATGCAAGGTGATTAGTGGTTTTGAAAAGCTTTTCACACTTACATGAGGACTTCGTGTCTTCAAAAGAATGTGGGATATAGGAATTTTATCCTGAGAATAACAGATTTTTTAAGTAGTGAGCTATTTATTGTTCTTACAGTTTTTTAATTTTCTCTTCTAATCTACCCTTTCCAAATATATGGATTAGTAGGCTGTCCATCTTAATTTCTTTGTATTCACTTGTTGTCCATAACCATTTCTGCCTTTATTTTGAATCAGTTATACCTCATCCCCTATGTGCTTGTATTCTTACAATGGAAGAAAGAAAGAGAGTCAGAGTATAGAACAGAGGGCCTTCACTGAGTATAGAAAAGAAAAACCAGTATGGACGAGAGCCAAGAACCACTCAGCTACTTTTAATGTATAAGAGTTTGAGAGCATGCAAGGTACATGAGGAGAGAAGGTCCGGCTCCTCCAGGGAGAACTTGGTTTAGCCAGCAGGATATTGGAAAATGACAGGATCAACAATTGCTACAGACTATTAAAATAGTTGACGAAAGTTTTGAGGATTATATTAAGGATTTTTTAGAGAACAAGAAACCAGTCCTAGAAAGAAGTATATTTTAGGAGTGATTAAGTCCAATCCTTGGAAATACATTTGACCATTAAATTATCGTTTTAACTTTCTTCACTCTGAAACAGTTCCCCCGGAGGGAGAACTTGACGCCGAATTGAGGAAAACACTCATACTGCGCGCCGGTGTCACAATGCGACTCTATGTGCCAGTAAGAGGACGCCCACCTCCGAAGATAACTTGGTCTAAACCAAACGTCAATCTAAGGGAAAGGGCTGGACTGGACATAAAGTCGACTGACTTTGACACTTTCCTGCGCTGTGAAAATGTGAACAAATATGATGCAGGAAAATATATCTTAACTCTGGAGAACAGCTGTGGTAAAAAGGAATATACCATTGTAGTGAAAGTGCTGGGTAAGTCTGTTTGAAAAAAATCACATATGTTAAAATTTTAGTTTTATACATTTTTTACATATTCATTCATTTACCATTTATCAGATACTCCCGGGCCACCTGTCAATGTGACCGTTAAAGAAATATCCAAAGATTCTGCTTATATTACTTGGGATCCTCCCATTATTGATGGTGGAAGCCCCATCATAAACTACGTGGTAGAAAAACGTGACGCCGAGAGGAAGTCCTGGTCTACCGTGTCAACTGAGTGCCCAAAAACAAGCTTCAGAGTGTCCAACTTGGAGGAGGGGAAATCCTACTTCTTCAGGGTGTTTGCTGAAAACGAGTACGGCATTGGTGATCCTGGTGAAACACGCGATGCCGTCAAAGCTTCCGGTGAGCAAATGCGACACTGCCCTCTCATTTTGAGTGACATCTTACCTTGGTTCTCCGTGGCTTCGACTTACCACTTCTCCTCTGCTTTAGAAACACCTGGACCAGTTGTGGACCTGAAAGTGTTGTCTGTAACTAAGTCATCTTGTACCATTGGCTGGAAAAAGCCTCGCAGCGACGGTGGAAGTCGAATTACCGGATATGTAGTCGATTTCTTGACTGAGGAAAACAAGTGGCAACGAGTTATGCAATCATTAAGCTTACAGTACTCTGCAAAAGATTTGATTGAAGGGAAGGAGTATACCTTCAGAGTGAGTGCTGAGAATGAAAATGGAGAAGGGACCCCCAGCGAAATCACTGCCGTGGCAAAGGATGATGTTGGTGAGCCTTTGGCCGTGCATCTTCATTTCCCCTTTATTGTCAGCAAAAGTGCACTCTTGAGCCTTGCTCACTGACTTCCAGATAAATCCTTTAAAAACAGCAACAGTATGACAAAGTAAATTGCCTGTTCTTAAAACTAATCATTTATCTCTGCTGTTTTACAGTGGCTCCTGACCTTGACTTAAAGGATCTACCTGATTTGTGCTACTTGGCTAAAGAAAATAGCAACTTCCGTCTTAAGATCCCCATAAAAGGCAAGCCGGCTCCATCCGTGTCCTGGAAGAAAGGGGAAGACCCGCTAGCCACTGGCACAAGAGTCAGTGTTGAGTCATCCGCAGTTAACACAACTCTCGTAGTGTACGACTGCCAAAAATCCGACGCCGGCAAGTACACAATCACACTGAAAAATGTCGCCGGCACAAAAGAAGGAACTCTCTCTATAAAAGTTGTTGGCAAGCCTGGCATCCCCACTGGGCCGATCAAATTTGATGAAGTCACAGCAGAAGCCATTACCTTAAAGTGGGGTCCTCCAAAGGACGACGGAGGTTCTGAAATCACCAACTATATCCTGGAAAAGAGAGACTCTGTAAACAACAAGTGGGTGACCTGTGCTTCGGCTGTCCAGAAAACCACCTTTAGAGTAACCAGACTTCATGAGGGTCTGGAGTACACCTTCAGGGTCAGTGCCGAAAACAAATACGGGGTAGGAGAGGGCCTGAAATCGGAGCCAGTCATTGCTAAACATCCATTTGGTAAGTGTCTCAACGTCAGAAAATAGAAAGCAAAACATGGTTTTGAGAAAGTTTCTTGCTATAAACCTCGCATTATCATATACTTTCCCAGATGTGCCCGATGCTCCCCCACCTCCCAATATTGTGGACGTCAGACACGATTCAGTATCTCTGACTTGGACAGACCCCAGGAAAACTGGTGGCTCTCCAATCACAGGTATTTATTTTGCTCTTATCCTACAGCTTTTACATTAATGTTTCTCTCAAGTCTTCCTCCCCGCACACAAGTTGAACGGTGCTCCTTATTTACACAGCACTATCTGCACATACAATGATGTATTTTTCTTCCAGTACCTCAGCGTTCAGGACGTTAAGCATTAATTAAGCTAATTAATTAAGCTAATGCTTCATTTCATTGAAAATCTCTTAATATAATAGTTTGTAAAGAAAGGCTTTCTTAGTGATAATATCTATTTTTGTAAGTTAAAAATTTTCAACAAAAGGTATAATAAATATGCATATTCCAAGAGGAAAAAAATGGCACCATACCTAGGTAATAAAAGTGTAGAATAATTATTTATTCCACAGACCCATATATAAATTATTTGAGAAAAACACGTATGTTTTAAAATCAGGCTGCATTTGTTCTTTCTATTTGAATTGACACATCACTGGGTCTCTCATAGGGTATCACATCGAGTTCAAGGAAAGAAACAGCCTTTTGTGGAAGAGAGCTAACAAGATTCCTATCAGGATGAAAGAGTTCAGAGTGACAGGACTAACGGAAGGCCTTGAATACGAATTCCGAGTGATGGCGATCAATTTAGCAGGCGTAGGCAAGCCAAGCCTGCCATCGGAGCCAGTCGTGGCACTGGATCCAATTGGTAAGTCATCATACAAAGAAAAACCCAGGTGCATTTTCTGCATGAAAAAAAAAATTGGCATTTGTTTGACTGGTTTCCCCCCCGCCCCCCGCCCCCACGTTTTAGATCCTCCTGGGAAGCCCGAGGTTATCAATGTAACAAGGAATTCAGTGACTCTCATCTGGACTGAACCCAAATACAATGGTGGTCATAAATTGACTGGATACATAGTGGAGAAGCGAGATCTACCCTCCAAATCTTGGATGAAAGCCAACCATGTTAATGTCCCAGATTGTGCCTTTACTGTAACCGACCTGGTGGAGGGTGGAAAATATGAATTCAGAATCAGAGCAAAGAATACAGCAGGTGCCATCAGTGCTCCATCAGAAAGTACGGGAACCATTATTTGCAAGGACGAATATGGTAGGTTTGTTTTACTTTCTGTGCACGCGAGAACATCAAATTATGCCTTCGTCCTTTTCTGATTAAAAGGTTTTTCTTTCTCTTTGCAGAGGCACCCGTCATTGTCCTTGATCCCACAATAAAAGATGGGCTGACAGTTAAAGCAGGAGATACCATTGTTTTGAGTGCCATCAGCATTCTTGGCAAACCCCTTCCAAAGTCGAGTTGGTCCAGGGCAGGAAAAGACATCAGACCATCAGATATCATTCAGATATCTTCCACCCCGACCTCTTCCATGCTTGCTGTCAAGTATGCCACTAGAAAAGATGCTGGTGAATACACCATCACTGCCACCAATCCTTTTGGCACAAAGGAGGAACACGTGAAGGTAACAGTTCTCGATGTGCCTGGTCCCCCGGGCCCCATTGAAATCAGTAATGTTTCTGCCGAAAAAGCAACCCTTACATGGACACCTCCCTTGGAAGATGGTGGCTCACCAATTAAGTCCTACGTTCTTGAAAAGCGGGAAACCAGCCGACTCTTGTGGACAGTGGTGGCTGAAGATATTCAGTCTTGCAGGCACGTGGCAACCAAACTTATCCAAGGAAACGAGTACCTCTTCCGGGTCTCCGCTGTAAACCAGTATGGCAAAGGAGAGCCCGTGCAGTCTGAACCTGTCAAAATGGTGGACAGATTTGGTACGTACAGCATGTGAGGGAATTGATGGGTAAGTACTTATAGCGGAGTCTAGAAAACAGGATTTCTCACAAATTGGCTTCCTTTTTCAGGTCCCCCTGGCCCTCCCGAAAAACCAGAGGTATCAAATGTCACTAAAAACACTGCCACTGTCAGCTGGAAAAGGCCAATCGATGATGGTGGCAGTGAGATCACAGGATATCATGTAGAAAGGAGAGAAAAGAAAGGCTTGCGATGGGTGAGAGCAACAAAGACGCCAGTTTCTGACCTCAGATGCAAAGTGACAGGACTTCAAGAAGGAAACACCTATGAATTCCGCGTCAGTGCAGAAAACAAAGCAGGAATTGGTCCACCTAGCGAAGCTTCAAATCCTGTTTTAATGAAAGATGTGGCATGTTAGTATTTACCCTTTTCAGTATAGCTCACTTGAGGGCGGCAATATTTCACACAATTTATCCCAAAGCCAAACTCTCAATATATATGTTTGTGTCTTGGTCTCCTTGCAGATCCTCCAGGACCACCTTCTAACGCACGTGTCACTGATACTACAAAGAAGTCTGCTTCTTTAGCATGGGGCAAGCCTCATTACGATGGTGGGCTTGAAATCACTGGCTATGTCGTAGAGCATCAAAAAGTAGGAGAGGAGGCCTGGATAAAAGATACAACAGGAACTGCCCTCCGAATCACTGAGTTTGTTGTCCCTGATCTTCACACAAAAGAAAAATACAATTTCAGAATCAGTGCCATCAACGATGCGGGTGTTGGGGAGCCAGCAGTGATTCCAGATGTTGAAATTGTAGAAAGGGAAGTGGTGCCCGATTTCGAACTAGATGCCGAGCTTCGAAGAACACTTGTCGTTAGAGCAGGACTCAGTATTAGAATATTTGTGCCAATCAAAGGTCGTCCTGCTCCTGAAGTGACATGGACCAAAGATGATATCAACCTTAAAAACCGAGCCAACATTGAAAACACAGAATCATTTACCCTTCTGATTATCCCAGAATGTAACCGTTATGACACGGGGAAATTTGTGATGACCATTGAAAACCCCGCTGGGAAGAAGAGTGGCTTTGTTAACGTCAGAGTCCTGGATACACCAGGCCCCGTCCTTAACCTCAGGCCTACTGAAATCACCATGGACAGCGTCACCCTGCAGTGGGAGCTCCCCCTGGTGGACGGCGGCTCACGTATAACAAATTATATTGTGGAGAAACGAGAAGCAACGCGAAAATCTTACTCCACAGCCACCACTAAGTGCCATAAATGCACATTTAAGGTTACCGGCCTGTCTGAAGGATGTGAGTACTTCTTCAGAGTGATGGCAGAAAATGAGTACGGCATTGGCGAGCCAACAGAAACGACAGAACCCGTAAAAGCCTCGGAAGCACCGCTACCACCAGACAGTCTGAACATCATGGACATAACTAAGAGTACGGTCAGCCTGGCGTGGCCTAAACCGAAACACGACGGGGGCAGTAAGATCACTGGCTATGTGATTGAAGCCCAAAGGAAAGGCTCTGACCAGTGGACTCACGTCACAACCGTGAAGGGGTTAGAATGCGTTGTGAAGAATCTAACCGAAGGGGAAGAATACACCTTCCAAGTGATGGCAGTGAACAGCGCAGGGCGCAGTGCCCCTAGAGAAAGCAGGCCCGTCATTGTCAAGGAGCAGACGATGCTTCCAGAATTGGATCTCCGTGGCATTTATCAGAAATTAGTTATTGCCAGAGCTGGTGACAATATCAAAGTTGAAATCCCGGTGCTTGGTCGGCCGAAACCCACGGTTACTTGGAGAAAAGGAGAGCAACTTCTTAAACAGACACAGAGAGTTAATTTTGAAAACACAGAGACTTCGACCATCTTAAATATCAATGAGTGTGTGAGAAGTGATAGTGGACCCTACCCATTAACGGCAAGGAACATTGTAGGTGAGGTTGGTGATGTCATCACCATTCAAGTCCATGATATCCCAGGACCACCTACTGGGCCAATCAAATTCGATGAAGTTTCATCTGATTTTGTAACCTTCTCTTGGGACCCACCTGAAAACGACGGAGGCGTACCAATAAGCAACTATGTGGTAGAAATGCGACAGACCGACAGTACGACTTGGACTGAGTTAGCAAGCACCGTCATCCGCACTACCTATAAAGCCACCCGCCTTACTACTGGCGTGGAGTATCAATTCCGAGTAAAAGCTCAAAACAGGTATGGAGTGGGACCAGGCATCACATCAGCATCTGTAGTGGCCAGCTATCCTTTTAAGGTGCCTGGGCCTCCTGGTACCCCGCAGGTAACTGCAGTTACCAAGGACTCAATGACAATTAGCTGGCACGAACCTCTCTCTGATGGTGGAAGCCCCATTTTAGGATATCACGTTGAAAGAAAGGAACGAAATGGTATTCTCTGGCAGACTGTGAGCAAAGCATTAGTACCAGGCAACATTTTCAAATCAACTGGACTTACAGATGGTATTGCTTATGAATTCCGAGTGATTGCAGAGAACATGGCAGGCAAAAGCAAGCCAAGCAAGCCCTCTGAACCTGTGTTGGCTTTGGATCCCATTGACCCACCAGGGAAACCAGTTCCTCTAAATATTACTAGACACACCGTGACACTTAAATGGGCTAAGCCTGAATATACTGGAGGCTTTAAAATTACTAGTTATATAGTTGAAAAGAGAGACCTTCCTAATGGGCGGTGGCTGAAGGCCAACTTCAGCAACATTTTGGAGAATGAATTTACAGTCAGTGGCCTAACAGAAGATGCTGCCTATGAGTTCCGTGTGATTGCCAAAAATGCCGCGGGTGCTATTAGTCCCCCGTCTGAGCCATCAGATGCTATTACATGCAGGGATGACATTGAAGCCCCGAGGATAATAGTGGATCTTAAATTTAAGGATACAGTTATACTAAAAGCAGGTGAATCATTCAAGCTGGAGGCTGATGTTTTAGGCCGCCCACCTCCAACAATGGAATGGACCAAAGATGGAAAGGAGCTTGAAGGCACAGGAAAATTAGAAATAAAAATTGCAGATTTCTCTACTAATCTGGTAAACAAGGATTCATCAAGAAGGGATGGTGGTGCCTATACCCTTACAGCAACTAATCCCGGGGGTTTTGCCAAACATATTTTCAATGTCAAAGTTCTTGATAGGCCAGGCCCACCTGAAGGACCTTTAGCTGTATCTGAAGTGACATCAGAAAAATGTGTGTTGTCCTGGTTGCCGCCTTTGGATGATGGAGGTGCCAAAATTGATCATTATATAGTCCAGAAACGTGAAACCAGCAGACTGGCATGGACAAATGTAGCCTCCGAACTCCAAGTAACCAAACTAAAGGTCACTAAGCTCTTGAAAGGCAATGAATACATATTCCGTGTCATGGCAGTAAATAAATACGGAGTTGGAGAGCCACTGGAATCAGAGCCTGTGCTTGCCGTAGATCCTTACGGACCTCCTGATCCGCCTAAAAACCCTGAAGTCACAACTATCACAAAAGATTCCATGGTTGTCTGCTGGGGACATCCAGACTCTGACGGTGGAAGTGAAATCACCAATTACATTGTGGAACGGCGTGATAAAGCTGGGCAACGCTGGGTGAAATGCAACAAAAAAACCGTTACTGATTTAAGATACAAAGTGTCTGGACTGACAGAAGGACATGAATATGAGTTCCGGATTATGGCAGAAAACGCTGCTGGAATCAGTGCACCGAGCTCTACCAGTCCATTTTATAAGGCTTGTGACGCTGTGTTTAAACCTGGCCCACCAGGAAACCCACGTGTTCTAGATTCAAGCAGATCATCCATTTCAATTGCTTGGAATAAACCTATCTATGACGGAGGTTCAGAAATCACTGGCTATATGGTTGAGATTGCCCTTCCAGAGGAAGATGAATGGCAGATTGTCACTCCGCCGGCTGGACTCAAAGCAACTTCCTACACCATCACCAACCTCATAGAGAACCAGGAATATAAAATCCGCATCTACGCCATGAATTCTCAAGGAATTGGGGAACCTGCACTTGTTCCTGGAACTCCAAAGGCTGAAGACAGGCTGCTGCCTCCGGAGATTGAACTGGACGCTGACCTGCGCAAAGTCGTTACTATAAGAGCTTGTTGTACCCTGAGACTTTTTGTTCCCATCAAAGGAAGGCCTGCACCTGAGGTGAAGTGGGCCCGAGAACACGGGGAATCTTTAGATAAAGCTAGCATTGAATCCACAAGCTCTTACACCCTGCTTATTGTTGGGAACGTAAACAGATTTGACAGTGGCAAATACATACTAACTGTAGAGAACAGCTCGGGCAGCAAGTCTGCGTTCGTCAACGTCAGAGTACTGGATACCCCAGGCCCTCCACAGGATCTGAAGGTAAAGGAGGTCACCAAGACATCTGTCACGCTGACATGGGAGCCTCCTCTCCTTGACGGAGGTTCAAAAATAAAGAACTATATTGTTGAAAAGCGGGAATCAACAAGAAAAGCATATTCGACTGTTGCAACTAATTGCCACAAGACTTCCTGGAAGGTAGACCAGCTCCAAGAAGGCTGTAGTTACTATTTCAGGGTCCTTGCTGAAAATGAATATGGCATCGGGCTTCCTGCTGAAACGGCAGAATCTGTGAAGGCATCAGAACGACCTCTCCCTCCAGGAAAAATCACTTTGGTGGATGTCACAAGAAGTAGCGTGTCACTTTCTTGGGAGAAACCAGAGCACGATGGAGGCAGCCGGATTCTAGGCTATATTGTAGAGATGCAGAGCAAAGGCAGTGACAAATGGGTCACATGTGCCACAGTCAAAGTCACCGAAGCCACTATAACTGGATTAATTCAGGGTGAAGAATATTCCTTCCGTGTTTCAGCTCAGAATGAAAAGGGCATCAGTGATCCTAGACAACTGAGTGTGCCGGTAATTGCCAAAGATCTTGTCATTCCACCAGCCTTCAAACTCCTGTTTACTACTTTCACTGTACTGGCA